CATTTTCCATCATGAATAGCTTCACGCTGCAGAATTTAGATTCAGAGATTTGATTCAGGTTGTGACTGAAATGTTACATGATTTAAAATAATACAGACATCTACAGTCAGTGAGTGTGCGTTATTACTGAAGGATGACAGAAGAGAGCATCAATTCACCCTCTCAATTTGGAAGGAACTCAAAGAACTAAGTAGTGGGGAGTGACATAGGCAATTGTGCCATTTCACTCTTAATTAAATTACTTTAAGACTTCACCAGGAAACCTGCCAAAACATCTAGAAATGTATTTGCTAGGACATGGCAGCCAATTTGAAAGCACACTTAATGCCAACTACTCAGCTTCTTGTCCCCTGCTAAGATGACAGTCCATTTCTGTGAACCTCCAGCAATACAAGGTCAAATTTATCATAAAAACTGCAAATATATTCCTCCATCCTGTTAGGAGTCCAACAGGCCAGTGCCGGTTGTATAATGAGGCCAAATCTTTTCTTAGACACTTTCTTAGCTAAGTGAGCACAAATGAATGCAACAACACTTACTGCTGCTAAACACACATTGATTTATTTTGTGTCGCATTAAGGCGACATTGACCATCACATATTGATTTTTGTTTGTATTTTAAAAAGGAGGGTGGCACAGTGGTGCAGTGGTTAGCACTGTTGCCACTGTCCCAGTTTGAATCCCAGCTTGGCTGGCAGTTTGCATGTTCTCCCTGTGTCTATGTGTGTGTTTTCTCTGGGTAGTGGCTTCCTCCCACACTCCCACAAACATTCAGATCGGGGTTAGGTTGATTTGACACTCTAGATAATGACTGGTAATGTGAGCGTGAATGGTTATTTGTCTCTATGTTGGCCCTGCAATATGCGGGCTATCTGTCCAGAGTGTAACCCGCATAATGCCCAATGTCTTTCCAGGGCTCCAGCCTCCTGCGACACTCAAAGGATAAGCAGTATATTTTAAAAGGGTAAAATCTTATTACCTTTACTGAAGAGGTTATGTTTTCTCCCCTGTCCATTGGTTTGTTTGATTGCCAGACCCAGGAATGTATTGACCCAGGAATGTATTGACTTTCTTTACAATTATGAGATTTCCCAGGTATTAGTGGATCACATCAGACATGTTTAGGGGACTGATAAATAAAAATATAAATGTGGTTTCATGAGGGGACTGACGGAGGAGGTATATGCTCTACTGAGTGCCTTTCTAGTTTTAATTGTGCACATTCTTTTGCTGTTCCTCCTTGCCTCTCTCTCTATCAGGTTTGTGCAGCTGTCCTTATCAGCACTTTGCACGTACACACAGACAATGGACCCATCTGTCATTGTCAGACTTGCCATGCAAGAGTACCAGGACAAATCATGCTCATGTTGGTAGGTTGGTGGGCCGTCAAAACTCTCCATTCCATTTTTACCGCCCGTTTGGCACTGTGTGTTCCTGTCATTCAGGGTGTGCATGAGGCCATACTGGTCTAACAGCATGTGAAACCAATATGAAGAAAGAGTGGCCAGATTTACATATATACTGCTTCACCACAAACTATTTCCCAAACAACTTACCAGAATCTCATTTACAAGCAATGACCAAAAAACTAAACAATGATAAAGTCATTCAACAGCACATTGAAAAGTCTGACACAAACCAGTGCCTATTCTATGTTCCAGGTTTGGATACTTTTATCAAACATATACATATAACATATATATATATATATATATATATATGTGCATAAGGTGTCTGAGTCATCCTTTCTTCCATATTCCTACAGTCTTCATTTAATGTAGTCTTTATTTAACCAGAAAAACATTTGGAAAAGCATCTGATAGGCAACAATGGTCAATCTTTACTTATGTATAAAAAACATCAAGGTATCATTGAGTAAGAAATAAGAGATATGGAGTCCTTACCTCTGAATTTCTTGGGTGGGTTGTTGAGGTCACCTGTGTCTGGTTGTACCACACAACGGTCATCCACAAGCCTGAGGACACAGCCAACATTATGATGAGTCAATTACACAAACACAAGCATCTTAAATGGACTTTAAAGGTTAAGTGTGTAGAATTTAGTGATATCTAGTGGTGAAGTGTCATGTTGCAGCTGAACACCCCTCACCTCACCTTCCCCGATCAAACATAAAAGAAAACCTGTGGAAGCCTTCAGTTGTCATAAAAACTCAGAAGATGTTTAGTTTGTCCAGTTTGGACGACTGTAAAAAACATGGCAGCCTCTGTAGAGAGGACCTGCTCCTAGTGTGAATATAAAGTATTTAAATATAAAGGGCCCATTCTAGGGTAAAGAAAACAACAATTCATACAATTTAGGCGATTACACGAGTGAAAACAGCACAATGCTTATGCTATTGAAGATAATAATTAAGCCAATAGAAACGAACACAGGATTTTTATAGCCCTGCAGCTCATCCCACCAAAATCAAATTTGATCTAATTAATTGTTGATGGCTGCATTCCATTTAGATCTGTCATGTCCATGGCTCTGTTATTGCGAACGCTCACTGGCCTGGCTTACTGGAACAAATAAATGGAATGAAGCCACTGTTGAGAGTATCATTAACACAGAAATAACTTGATTTGATCCGAAATGTCAGCTCCTTCATAACCAATGAACTGTATGATGATGACATATGTTATTGTATTGACAGCAAACATTGGGTGGGGAGTTCAAAGTGTGTAAAATATCATACAGCCTGCACTGACTACATCTTTGACTGACTAAAAAAGGATGAATCATATACATCTGTATTTACGTAGTGCTTTTCTATTCCTAGCGAACACAGGTACACTACAGGTCAGATATACTACTGCGCTTTTCTGTCCCACATTCACATTGTGATGGAGCAGCCATCAGGGGCAGTTTAGGGTTCAGCGTTTTGCCCACTATGGCAACAGGACTGGAGAAGCTGTGGATTGAACCACCAACTATCAAGTTAGTTGACGGTCTGCTCCTGACCCATAACTGCCCATAAATCTGTTTCTGAAGTTTAAAATGAATAGCGCAAGCATTTCCTGCTTGAAACTATTATATAACAGAGCACTATGATATGAATGATAAAATAGATTTTCTGAACTGGGCCACTAGTGATAACTTGTACTACAGATTGTAACACAGCTTTTCCTGATGAAAGGAACACTGGTGCTACCTCATTATTCTCTTATTCTTCTCTTCTGTCATTATTGTGGTGAACAGTTTTTTTTATACTTGATGGCAAAATCACAGACATGTAGGAATTGTAGGGAAACCCCTGGGAATACTAGATAGTAGCTCAGCACGAATACAACACTTCACTAGGATGCTGAGGCCGGCCCAGTCAGTTTGCATCTTTTTATAGCTCATGCAGTACGCACTGCACCGCAGGAGCACTGTCCTGATGAAAGAAGAAAGCACAGGGAGGGAGATTCTCGTTCTCATAGCCTTGATCACACCGATACACTGGTGGGCCCCGGTCCCATAAGAGTCATTGTTATTCAAGGTCAAGAAAAGGCCACCTCTTGCATTCTGGGTGATGGCTTCACATGTGTTTTCCAGCTTCCAAGCATCAAGATGCCGGGTGCCACTGTCTCTGAGCTCGCAGTGGTCCAGGTGCATGCATCATTTCTCAGGGGTCACATTCAGTATGCTGACAGCACCTAATACAGTAATGCTATTTATAGTTATGCCATCTAAGCTGTTTTCATTGTGTGTGTGTGTGTGTGTGTGTGTGTGTGTGTGTGTGTGTNTGTGTGTGTGTGTGTGTGTGTGCTGATGGATTGGGGGGATTCATTTAGTAGGTTTATAATGGTAAATATGACAAATGAGCTCTGTCATGCTGGCAGTCTTCAAGGCCTTTGTTGCCATGGCGAGTGACGCACAACACTAAACTATGAAAGCATGGTTTGTGAAAGGTGGGAAGGCTCAGTACGGCCTCTGGAAAGTGGCAAACTGAATAGTGACACAGCAGGAGGAGGATGATTGCTGCACTTAAAAAAGGAGAAGAGGAGGAGGCAACCAGATGCTGTGCAGATTTCCACCTTGGTGGAGGAAAAACAAACACCGTGGGGATGAAAATAGAGAGGAAGCAGAGGAGAGACAGGCTGGGGTACAGTAATCTAATATGAGATATGCTGTGAGATGTTCTGGACAAAGACATTCACATCAGTGATCACCCTCTTTTCTTCCTTTGGGTTTTTGTTATTTATGTGACAGACAACAGTGCATCCAGATTTGCTCAATTTGCACATAATGAGATGCCCTTTTAACTCGTTGTCTGCTATTAGGGAGGAAGGGAGATGTCAAGTGTTTAAATGAATTGTGCTCAGCATGTAGCAGGAAAAGACACAGGGTAATTTATGGCCAGAGTAGAAACTGAGCACAAATAAAGAAATGACTCCTTCAGGGTGCACTACTTCTAAAATGTAACAGCCTTCGTCTTCCCATTCATAATATGTAGCAGATGCTGTTATTCAAAGTGATTCACAACGCTGCTCCTCTTAAGGCAGATGGACGTTTGACTGCAATAAGTCCTCCCATTGACAAGCTGACCACAGACCAAGATGTACCAGTATATCACAGGGTCATTATCTCTGCAAACAGGCAATCAAGTCAGATCTGGTTCTCTGTACAGGCCATATTCACAAATCTAAATTTGCCTCAGCTTAACAAGGTGCTGCAAAAAACTACCACAAAAACCTAAGAGAGAGCCACGTGTGAGGGATCCTCTCCCAGGACATTGCAATATATGTAGCGTGTAAATGGAGCATGTCAACATTTTTTTTTTTACAACATTCGAGAAAAGAATGAATCAAATGCAGAGGTGTAAAGTATTTATACAAAACAAAAGTCATGACAAGAGGTGAAGGAAGCAGCAATGATAATTGTAATGATCGGAGTATTGCCAGTAATGGAAACAAACTTTATATGTTGAGCCAAAAACTGTATTGAATATACTTACAATAAAATACATCCAGTCAGTTTTATTTATGTTGCTCAAATTCACAAAAAAGACACCCTCTATACCTGGGTCTTCAGTGTCTGTGTTTAAGATAGCAAGGTCTTATCTTCATATACTCAGGTGCATCTCTGTGTAACCCAAAATAGTTTTCAATGTTGTTGAGACGAAAAACAACTTGTTTTTTTCTGAGAGCTTGTATTCTTTCTTTGGCTGAAATCAGGCGAATTATTATTCAACATAAAAAGTGGACAAAAAAATGGGCAATGCTTATGTTGACAGTAACCGCCACCAAGCAAAGAGAGGCATTAAATCCATCCACTACATGATACTACTCCATCTGCAAAACCCCCTCTTTGGCTTAAAGCAGCAACCACATAATTATTACGTGTTTATTTGGTAGCTTGTGCTGTGTTATAGTTGTGTTTCATGTGCTTTTGGACAATATTGACTGAGGCTCCATTCATCATCTGAAACTGTTTAACAAGAGCAGGATGGAGTGCAGCCATAGTGAAAAGCTCAGAAGAACCCTGGTAAGAGAAGTAGACTCACCCTAAAGTGCTGATAAATCCACTGGTGGAACCCTCTGCATACAGGGAACAAATGTCCCCAATATGGAGGAAACTGGACATCTTGTCCGACATGGTTGCTCAGGGTGGACGAAACCTGCAAAAGATGAACAACACAGGTCATTAAATGCATCGTGACATATAGCACCATTATGTTGTATTATCTGAAACAACCTGGGACAAGTTACTAATGACATTTCAGACAAATTCCTTTTATTGTACAAGTCATATTAAATAAAAACATTGAACATCATTACACAGGTTGTATCTTTTAATAGGTTCTCAATAGCTGCTTTAGTCATACATTGTAAACAGTAGCCATCATGATCATCCGCTGCTTATGTTTATGATATTTATTTGGTTAGATATGAACTTTGTGGTGATTTGGGTTTTGACCATCTCAACTTCTTTTTAGCCCATCTACAGAGCACCACCTACTGTAAGACCAGGAGCAGAATTTAAAAATTAAAAAGCCATAATGAATTTGAATAAGAGGAGTTAATGAAGTACTTCATGGCTAATCAAAGTTGTGTGCACACTGTGTAGAGATGTTTTGTTAGTTTCTTTTGAAACAAAACTAAGAAAACTGTAAAATGAAGTTTTTGTTTGCATTGTGCTGTTAGCTACATGAAGACTGGACAGCACATGCTGCATTTAAGACAACATTGTTCCCAGGCAGAGAGAAGATACACACCTGGGTGACAGAACCCAGCCCCACTTTCAGAGATTAAGTTGCCTGTGTTATTCTCAGCAAAACCATCGAGACAGTGGACAGACTCACAGAACACGTAGCATTGAGGCATCAAAGGAACATGTTTGGAGGGTAATGGAACAAAAACATCCTGGCATGTTTCATGAATATAGGCTAATGGCTACTGGTGTATAGCTGTAGGTTATATTTACACACATAGACCCATGCAATTAACAAATATAAAGTTAGTCTTATGTTATTCTTGGTAGCCTCGTGTCAAAATATATACACCGATTTAACGTTGAGTGACATTTTGAGTCATTTCAGAGATGCCTCACGGGACACTAACATTTCGTCTCGCGCTGAACTAAACATCAAAGTCGCCTTTTTCCTTTGTTTTGCATCGCACGAGCTGCAGCAGAACGAGAGCAACAGATAGGCGCGTGGGCCACTTCCTTGCTTACAGGGATGCTCGCAGCTCAGATGAACCACATAGAACCACAGAAGCTGAGCTGGGAGAACTACACGCAGAGTTTACCTGTCAGAGGTTCAAAAGAAAGGCGTCAGAGGCAGAGAGAAGAAGTGGGTCAGCACAGGATCATTTCCGCTGCGCTATCCTCGGTTAAGTCCATGCTAGCGAAAGTCCAGGTGAGAGCAGGCTGAGCAGCGTTATCTCTGACAGCTCAGTGCGTCCTCGGTAACAATCCGCTTCTTACCTCCTCCACATGTCACCGAGGGAACGCCCCTTTCTGACTATTTATACTGCACCGCGGCTCTCTGGGAAGTGTAGTTCTAGACACGACAGGCAATGTTTAGTCTCATCGGTTGCACTACAGATACGTTTGAGCAGATTAGGACCTTAACAAATTAAATGTTTTTAAAGATTATAGCATTTCAAGTCACATTGACCTCGATATAATCCTAATCAATTAAAACAAATGAGGGTAAAATGTTGACTTCTTATTTGTTTTATTCAGATAAATCAGGGTCAAATTGGCCCCAAAGAACATAGATGTGACGGTATGTATAGAGGACACTGAAGACAATAATAATGTTATAGTTCGTAGTGATACTATTTGCAGAAAACAAACAAAAAGAATATGAACATCTCAGGGTGAAAAAGTAGTGGCTTACATGTAGAAGACACCCACAAAGATGTGTAGACAGTTTTTTAGTGAGGACCAATGCCAGTGGCAATGTACTGTAAACCAAATCATCTGATCTCTCTTACGTCCTGCCTCTGTCTGATGCTCCACCCCTCACCTGCATAAAGGAGGATTTGTTGCTGTTGTGAAAGTGTCTGAGCACGTGCAAAAGGCAAACTGTGGACAAAGTCAGGACCCAATACTCTGGAGATTTTCCAAAGGACTGAAAACGGCTAAGAGCCGACACTGCATTGACTTCAATTCAGAGAACCGGAGCTTCAGAAATGACGTTTTGCCTCATTTGACCAGGCTTTTTTCAGTGTTAACATTACCTGATGTATACTGTCAAAAACAGAAGCACACACAGCGCCTGACAACAAGGAGGCTCCTGCTGTGAATGTCAAAGTGTGAATAGAGGTGAGATAAAGACATCAGTTGAATGTGCAGTCTCCTGTCAGAAACACTATCTGGGCGACTGGCCGTCAGATTCCTGGGTGTGTAATGAGGACCCACCCTTTGAGTGTGTTTAGTTGATGCATGGTTTTAATGTGTGTGTTTTTCTTTTGTTATAAAGACACTTTTGTTGCAGTGCCAGGTCTACAAACCATACACACATAGACAGATCTCATCTTGTGCTTTTGGCCCACTGATCACCATGGTTCATGTAAACTTTGGAAATCTCAGTCGCACAACTTTGAGTGATCTGGTTTATTTTCAGGTGACCTATAAAAATCAACAGGAATTAGAACAGACTCAGACTCTGAAGAGTTGGACGATATAAATGCACAAATAACTGGGCATGTAAGATCAGCCACGCTGTTCTCAAAGTGATCCTGGTAGCTCTTCCAAAAGAGGACGAAGAAGAAGAAGCCCACTTTCAATTTATCCATTAAGACCTACAGTACATGGGTACATTTGCAAATTTGTAAAAGCTTGATTATTCAAATTTAATTGCAATATGAACGAGAGACACAGAGGCGCAGGAGGAGAGAGAGCACTTTAATCAAGGTCCAGTGGCATTAACCAAACCCTCTGATTAGCTGTTTATTTGGTTTCTAAGCTACAGGATCTAAAGGATTAATAAGAGTGGAGTAAGTGGGGATCCACAAGTGTAACCTGACCACCACCATTTACTATAAGTGCATATCAAAATATTCTACAGTCCCAATCTTGCTTTTCACAGTGGAGTCTTTACATGCAAATAGCTGAGGATTGATGTGTTATACAGTACTCTGAAACCAAAGAACTCTACAGCATGATTCATGTTCTAATGTTGACATGAAATCCAGCCCTGGTATGATGCACTGGGAAAAACAACACTTATTATGCATGTGCCGCTCTCTGCAACTGTCAGCCACTCATCACCAGATATCAGTATCAACAGACTGTACTGAATCATTATCAATGTGAAGGCAAGGATGGAGGCAAAAGGCTTTGTCTCACTGTCTAAAAAAGGTATGTGCATTTCAATTTGATACGGTCAAATTCATGGCTCGACAATATCTGAGAAACTGACTCTTTCCCACTATAAGTATTTCCAGGCTTTGGTTAAACTTAACATCAAGTGAAGTTGAATACAGATCACTGAGTACTCAGTTGTCATGGATACAGAGTACAGATGACTGGCTACCATTCTAGTACACACACACACATGCCCAATACAACGGCTGCAATGTTTGTGAAGTGCAGCAGTGATTTGTAGCTTGTAAAAACAAACCCCTCCTTTTTCACTGGCTGTTTTTTGGCCAGACATTTATTATAGTTCCCTGCTTGAACCTGAACAGTGTGTCATCTGCCAGATCCAGCTTTTTTCTCCACACTATTCACGAGTACAACCGGACCATTGACACAGACAGATATGAGATGGGATTTGTCGTGTTAGGAGACAGATCACTGCCTCGCGTACTCTAGGGGTCATGAATGAGAGGTGATTCATCCTTGTCTGACTTGTTGCTCATTTAAAAACAAGAGGCAGATTTTGCAATAGCAGTTTTAACAAATGACTGACAAATTAATGACAACAGCATCTGCATGCTTGGAATGCACCGGAGACAGAGGGATGACAAAACACTGCCACCATCTGTGTGGGTGCACAGATTGTCCATGTGTAAGTATTCTCAAGTGCAGATCCAGGCCTTCCCACAGCAGCCATGATGAGTGGGCACAATGGTTGGTAGTTTTCTCATATGAGGCCCCGATAGTCCTGTGTGTGGGCCATGCCTGCAGACCAATCCCCACAGTCATCACAAATATCAGAGCAGAGTTAAAAATACTTGCAACAAAGAGTCGTCTGTTTTTCTTATTGTTACAGTTGGACTGCAGTTGTCACTTGATTTCAAATCAGACATGCAGTTCCAACTCTGTGGTGTTAAAAGCAGGCCTCTGTATTTCTGTACTAAACCATATGATGCCCTCTAACTTTCTGGATCTGGGACAGTGAACCACTGAAGACATGATACTGCTGGGAGTACAACACCCCAGGTAACTAGAATGGTGCTCAGTAGAGTATACTCCACCAACGCCCCAGTCCCCGAGTGAAACCACATTTCAATTCACTAGATTTCAGTGGTGGATCTAAGATTTTTCTAAATCAGAGGCCACAATTCACAAATGGGGGGCCAATTACATGTCTAACATTCATGCAGAATTCTTAATTCAGTAAGGTGCATATTTAAGAAATTCCAACACATGATTGTATACATTTAGAAAACAGTTTCTTGCTGAAACGCATTGCGCACTTTAAAAAAGCTTATAAAATTCAAATCCTTAAGAAATTCTCGTAGTTATAGCAAGTATTGTTATAAGTGACTCGGTTATTCAAAAAAAAAAAGACTATGGACAGGAGCACTTCAGATGCCACCTCTGTTAGATCTGGATTGTTATTTGAATCTCCACCAAATTTCATACAATCGTATATATCAGATAAAATCTGCCTGATTTTTTGAATAAATCTCTGAAAGATCAATGAAAATGTTGAAAAATTGTAAAAATGAAAAAGAAAAAAAAAAGCAATAGCAATAGGTTGATAAGGCTAGTTTCTGCATAATCCTGCTAACTAACCAACAAATGCAGGTAATACTTAACCTCTTTGGTGGAGGTAATGATTTATTTGTGATATGTAAATGTAGGAGACTGATAGAGGCTCCCCTTTGTATTTAATTAAGTATTTGATTCCATAGAGAAGAATTAGGGGCCTAGGAGCTGTGTTAAAGTTTTTTATATTCACATTTTTTATTTGTGTTTGTAAGCATGCACCCTCCTCCCTCCTCAAAGGATAAGATCAGTGAGCATGATGCGTGAAGGGGAATGCAAGTGACACCAGATACCATGATTCACCTCAGCCACAGCATCAGTCTTAATCTCTATAGCAGATGAATGGACTTTAGATGTCTGCATTTTGTTTTCTTATCATACTTATTTTTCAATATATTACAAGCTGTGTACGTGACAACCTCTGGATTCATTTTCTTGGGATGTTTTGGCTGCGAGTTTAACAAACTGCCTCGCAGTCTCCGTATGGTAAAACATAAGACAATGTGGAAAAAATTGCCTTACAGGTCAAACCCATTCTTAAAGTGTTTTGCGACTACAACTTCTCTTAACTTGAGCAATCTCACATGCAAAGTTCCTGTTTCTAAACTGTTTCAGTTGACAATTTAAACTGCGTGATTGGAGCTCTGAGAACTGGAACAGTGACTCAGGCTTTATCAGGATCAGTATGTGACGTAAGCAACTGGGGAAACAGAATTATGTGGCGTGAAAGAATGCGGTGTAAAAAACACACACACTGAGCACCAGTCACCGGACATTCTGGCATAGTGTGAAAACAAGGCCATACGAACACCCGTCTATTATCCGCTCACTGTCTGCTGTCCTCTCTCGCTCTGTGACGTCGGATGACATCAAGGTCCCTTGTGAGTCGAGAGTCAATTGTAACTTCAGAACTTAAGAGGTTTAGCATTCTTCAATTTAATCAGATCACACACAGAGACACACACAGACACTGTTATCACAAAGAAGCCTCCTCTTCCTCTTTATGAGACCACATCAGCCACTGAGAAGGAAGAGGGATGGAGAACACACAGCAAAACTATCATGCACAGGAATATATAGAGGAGTTTTTGTGTTTTTTAAATCCAGTTGTATTGGCTTTTATTCATGTTGATGCCCCTTTAAAAAAAGAGGTTGCCCCTTTCTTCTGGTTGCACTACAACAGGTTTTGATATGTCACCCAAGTACAAGGAGATGTGCCTCACTAAAAATAAAAGACAATTATGCTGTTATAATGACCCACGTATCCCCCATGGAAAAAGGCTGATTAGACTGGCTGCAGAGATATTCTAATTAGGCCTTCTGATTTTTTGGTTTAACTTGTCACCAATGTGTGGAAAAATATGTTTGATATTTTGTGCTGCCAGAAATAATGATTCAACATCTGGGCTCATGTTTTTCACAAAACAACAAAGTGATCAAATACCCAGATTCATTCACTGTGCAGAGAGCGAAGATCACTTCGCCATGCACATCCCCTTGGTTACGGCATAATCAGTATGCCAGACCACACACGTATGCCATGGGAAATTATCCACTCTGTGTTTGATTTGTGGAGACAGATTTGAGTGCAGTTTTGGACACTGCTGCTCCACAGAAGGAGAAAAATATCAAAGCAGGCAGTGTCTGAAGTCACCTAACCTGCTGCACAACTTGCTCTGTAAGCTGCTTTATCAGCAGGTAATCCATTAGGCTCAGTGGGATGGATCCCAGCATCACTTCATGTTACAAGCTACCTGGTTGCCTATAAATCAACCTGTGTACATATGTAATGTAATGAAGTGTTCATTTTATCTTTATAAAATAAATCCTCAGATAAACTTTTGGCTTTCAACCAAACTTTATCAATTATATATTGGAAGACTCTTTTTTAAATTAAAATGTTTAACATTTAACATTTAATATTTAACAATATAATAAAACTATTGCTGCTCTGGTACCATGAACTGAATAGTGCGGTGCATGTTTCCAGACTATACACAGATCCTGCTGGATGTTGTGAAGCTGAGACAGGACTGGTAATGGGATTGTCACAGCTTAGCTTGCACAGAAACATTGGGGATTGACTATTTGACAGTGGGCTGTTGCACAAGGTTGAAAAATCCTGAAGTGTAATAGCTCACACATGATTAGTCTGAGTCTTACATGTGCAGTACGTGTCTCTTACAACCGTTACCCCAATGCCAAGTACTTGACATTCCCCGCCGAGTGGGCACTCAGTGGGATCAGACTGGCTTGTTATGCAAGATTGTGGAAATAATGACAGTGGTTAAATCAAGGTGAAATTAAACCGTCAGTACCAGGACATTTTGTGACTTTTATTTACATAAAAAAATTGCTTATAACTCCCAGTGATCCCCCTTCAATCATACTGTAAACTGGACGTGAAGATTCTGTGCGATGTAAATGTGTTGTAGTCAGTGTATACATGCATGTGGATTTTCTGAAATGATATATATATACACATTCTTCTATGTAGACCCTTTGCTGCTATAGGATTAGGGCAGAAGCACAATAGGCCCAGTTCAATCATTTACAGTATCCACATATAGGCCCACATCTTATACAATCAATATAAAAAAGCAGGAATGCATGGCTTCTTCTACAAGACAGAAGAATTCTTTTTATATCGTACAAACACTATTATTGTCTGAATAGACTGTGACTTGTACCAATATCTTCTCATCAGCCTGCATCACAACCAAGTCAAGAGTTAATAAAAGAAATGTTTGACATTGGACTTTGAAATGTCTTTGCCAACTGAGGCCTGGCAGATAACTGCGGTTTCATTTTTTTTATTTATTTGGCAGCAGGATTCATGGCAGGACATCTGCGCCCTCATCAGAGAGATGCTCCATTTTTCAACAACTGGACTGCCAGTTGTGATTTCATCACCGGTCACCGAAATAGTGTCTAGCTCCTTCATCAATGTGATGCATGGCTCTCATAAGAAGGAGGTGTATCTTAATCTTTTGTCCTTTCAAGCTGCACTTACCTAGACATTTTAATAAAAATGAAAAAAATAAAAAGCTCTGTCCACCTAAAGCAAAGTGGGGCTGCAAAGAATGATGAAGAGAACAGTCTTGTTAGGGATAGGAATGTTCTCTTCATTTTTTCAAATATCTTGATTAATTAGTTTTAAAGGAATTGTTCAATATTTTCTTAAACATGCATATTATATTACTCTCTCATCTGAGGGGTAGTCAGCAGCAAGAAAGGGGGAGGCAGCCTCATAATGAGGAGAAAGTAGTAACTTTCTGAAATTGTTGAAACATCAAAAAAGAGGCATCTGCATATAAACACAGATGGTTTAGAAGATGAAGGCATTTTGGTTTGGCTATTTTGCAGAAAGAAATTAAAGCATGTTTGATGCTACTTTATTTTAAATTGTTCACTAGCTACACTCTGCACTGGAAGAACCCCTTTATCTCATTCTTTTTTTTTTTTCGCTGTGCAATTGCTTCCAGTCATAAACTACCTTTCCTACTATTGTGTTTTGCTATTTCCTACTGATGCAGTGAGGGAAAAGATGAAGATCTTAGGGGATTCGAATTCTTGACTCAAATTCAAATTACAGACATGCCAAAAAATCCTCACACCATCTGACAAGTGTTGGGGAGTATCTGATCGCTCCTTGCACCCCTCTGTACATTGGTAGGCAGGACAAAGCTGAAAATTGGTCTAACTGAAATGAGTTGCGCGATTCAGAAGTTGGGCTCAAATCGATCAGTGTATGCCTCACTTCAGTCGAACTTATATTTGCATATTCTGAAAGTAACACATGCTAAGGACTGTTCTCACTCTAGATGATCAAAGCTTGACAAGCCCGAGTCTTATTGCATCATAATAACCTACAACAATTTTCAAGAATGTCATCTATGTACTATTTGCAGCCGCCATGTCAACACATGTTCACAGTAATACCATCAAACATTGAGGTTCAATGACATCTATAACTATTTCATTTATAATTTCTTTCCCTTCAAAAAGCAATAGTTCTGTGGGGTACCAGACCAAACACCACTTTCTGTTACCACTCTCAAAATCCAATCATGAAATAACATAACAGACTCCTTCTGGTGGGGAAGTTCACCTCATGTAATTAAAAAGAAGTTGCCAGCTGACCATCCTGGAACGGAGCCCTTTATCGGCAGCCCAGCTCTTCAACAGTCAGGATTTGATAACAGCCTTAAGCTACCTCCGAACTTTCTACAGTCCAAATCACCTCCTGTACAAACCATTTTCCATCTGATTCCAGGGACACCTGACTGAGATGTTTTGATGTCTTTATAGAGGGTTTGTTGTGGAATGATGATTTATCACAAAAGCACAACAAAGAGTTCCACATACACATATTACTATGGACATCTGGATTCAACAAAGAGTTGACTGTTCGCAGGTGTTAAATAGCAAACAGGATTTAGTTGATCGTGTTCAGAAATCCTCCACAATCTGTGCTCTACCTTCCTCTATGGCCACAGACACAGCTAATATCCAGCCACATTCCTCCACATAGCTGTGTGGTATATTATGATAATGATGTATGTCTTTAATAGGAAGCTACTGCTAACAGCCGGTTATCTTAACCCAGCTGCATCCTTTTACGACGTTTTGTGGTAATCTGTACAATAGTATTTTGTAATCTTGCTAACCAACAGACAAACCAATGAAAGTAAACCCAGCCTAGGTGTTTTTTATTTATTTTGTACAATAAGATAACTAACTCCTGGCTGTAGCTTCACGTTTGGTGTATGGACATGAGAGTGATATTGATCCTCTCATTTAACTCTATTAATCTGACTATTTCCCAAACTGCCAAACTGTTTGTTTTGGTTTCTAATCTCTGGGTGTGAATCAAATCAGGTGCAAAGGAAAACTCAATTTGAACAGAGCGATTTCAGAAAACCCTCCCAGAGGGAAATATACAGCTCAAGACCCTCTGTCTTCTTCTGGGCCACACAAACAACCAATCAACTTGACAGCAGTCTCCATTCGGAACACGACTTCCATCTTCCCACTGCCATAACTTCATCTCTCTCTGCCCCAGTGTGGCTCGAGCATTGATCCCAATTCTGGATGAAACACGGTCTCCATCCTAATTAACCCAGATGTGGATATTAATAGGATGAAAGCAGGTCTAGACTAGAAATGGGGCAGATTGAGAGGTGGTGGTCCTGATATCGGAATGGTCACACTAAAGTGGGACACCTTCACCCCTCCTTTGACAGGGGAATACAGCCTGCTTCTATATAAAAACACCCCCTGGCCCTTTTTAATTGGTCCCATCCCTCTTGAGGCTGGAGTGCGATGAGAAGCTGAGAATATCTACATGTGGAGGCTGCGTCGCATGAATACAGAAATGTCAGAGTGATGGAGGTGCATGACAGTTGTAACTTTGCATATGAATTTTGCTTTGTGGAATGACGTAAGCATAATATATTCAATTGCACAAAGAGTAAAGGTGTTAAGATCAATTCTGTAGCCCGTGTAGTTATTAAAAGAAACCTATTAAACTTCCTCAACAGTCTGCCAGTGCAATTGATTCTTTAGCTCCTTCAAGATTCATATTGTGTGAAATGGGGCATATATTCGCGAGGACAAGATAGAAGACTGTGAATCCAGAGGGACAGGTCCTATACTGAACAGGGCCCCTGATAGATGAAATGGATTTCACATGTGTAAAAATAGATGGAAATGTAAACATGTTACTCACAAGGAAAAATAAAACTTTTTATTGCCTTAAAATTTAATTTTCATTCCATAATTTTACACTGAGTGGGAAAGAGTATTATTGCTTAGGGACTAAACAGGAAACAAAACAGAGGTAAAACAGTCTTTGCATTATTTCAGTTGAGAATAGACAAATCCAGTGGAAGGAACACTGCACACTTGTTAGCACCACAGAGACACGCTTTCCTCTGAATTCCCTCTGTCCTATCGGCCTGAGTGTCACTTTGTGTGGACAGCACCTCTACAGGCGTTTGGTTACTGTATCCTCCCGAGTAGTCAAACGTCAGCTCCTCTTGTGCCTCAATATCCCGTCCAGCAAACAGCGCCAGTCTAGGGACTACAGAGTGCACGCGGACAGGCAGCATGAGGAGGTTGGGCTGGCAGGAATGATTCAGAAAGCGGCCTACATTCCCCACCACAGCTGGGTCCACAAACGTCTCCATAATGGAGCCAGTACCTGCATGCTCCCTCACAGAGATGATGTAATTATTTTCTTCAGATCTCTGGGTGAGCTGTCTGCGTCTGGCCTCCCCAAAACCGATGACCTCTCCTGCATACTCACACACAAACGTCCCACGTGGGATCGACTCTAGTGCACGTACACCCCAGCCCCTGTTCCCGGTGCTGTAAACTTCCAGCCTGAGTCTGAGTCCCCTCTGGACAACACGGTTAATGCAGGTGTCACCGCAGGAGCAAAGGGTATTACACTCAAACACAGGTGAGCAGTAACCAGAGTCTGTTCGGCTAAGGTCCAGTAGTGTGCCGGTGCCGTCATACGCCTGCCCATGAATCCTGAGGCAGGAGCAGCTCTCAGTGCAGCAGGAGAGGGAACGACAGGAGCATCCAGGGAGTGTGACTTCACTGGGGTCAACTGGGCATCCAGGTCCCTCAACGTTATCTGGGGAATACTGAAGAGTAAAAGGTAGTCAAAATTAAAGAATGTTGATTGTTTGAAATTTGCCCAAAATTTCCAAATACTCAAATTTGTACGAAAACAATTAAATAATTATTTAACTTAAAGAAAATTAAAAACTAAAACTAATGAATTCTTTGCAAAATCCAGATCATTGACTGGTTTCAGCTTGTAAGTGTGATTTTGCTGCTTGACATTATGTGACGGTAAACCGATGGGTTTTGACATTAAAAAATAACATTTGAAGACATGAAGTAGAGCATCAGGAGGTTATGATAGATTTATTTTCATTTTTCATTTATATTTTTGGCATATTAATCAATACAAAATATAATCATTAGTTGCAGCACTAATTCAAATGTACAAAAGATTTAGTTTTAGGAAATATTAGATGATCTACCACTACCTACTTTAAAACTCATTAACCTACTTTAACAGCCACAAACCATTTTCAGCAAATTATGCTGTACAACTTACATGTCCTTAAGAATTTAGTACATTTGTACAGACAGGAAGGTGTTTGAGAGCATCAGGAGCAAGAAGAGCAAAGTAGGACAACTCCTTTGGTTCTAGAGAGGCTTTTTTTCCTTCTTCCCTACACTGCAGTCAGGTGACAGGCTGCGTCCTGTGATGATATGCTGCCATCTGCTGGAAATGTAATTCTTCTTCTTATTTGTACTATATGTTTTCCTTTCACATGTCAATGAAGTCCTCTACTGCTGCATCCCTACAGCTGTTCTGTATTCAGCATGTTGTATGGAGGCAGTGCAAGGCCTCGAAACTGTTTTGGAAAGAAAAAGCTCAAACTTGATATTGATTCTAGATTATCTGTGTCATTGTGCTGTTACATCAGATTTACATCACTGCAACATTACAATATCTTCAAAAGCTTTGATTATCACAACCATATCATTTATACATCGGCCTGACCGATATATGTAGATAGATAGTAGATGTAGAAAGATAATAAACACAAGCAGTTAAAGGGTGATGTTGTACACATTATTTACATTGTACATGTTGAAGATTCAGCTTATATAGATGGTGAATATGTACAATCACATTAACATTACTAACACTGTGTGACTGTTGAATAGAATCATGTCTAATCACTAGTCAGACCTGAGCTTCTCCTCCCATGGTGGTTACACCGTTTTCATCCCATTAATGTATATCTGTGTCAATAATTCAAAAAAGAATAGAACTAGAATAACTCTACATGGTCACACCATCACTTTGATGAGACTGAAGTGTGACGAGCTAAAACAAACAACTCACAGACTGTAAGATTTCACTTTCTAATAGCTTAGCTGTTAGCACAGAGGTGCTACGTTTACGTTACCTGGAATTCAGGAAACGTCCGTACGTCCGCACTGAAGTCAATCAGAACTGGAAGCTCTTCCAGACCGCGACTCAAATCCACAGCACGAGTCGTGTCCACGAACACGTTCATGTCTCAGGTTCACGCTCAGGGGGAGTGGGGATGTAAACAAAGCTGCTACTTCCGGTGATCTAATGAGTGGTCAGCCCCCTCTAGTGGCATGTTTGGTTCATTACACCCCTGTACCAGGCCTTTGTCACAGCAGACATGTTTGACTGAAAAAAAGAGCAGGTATCACTGATAACTGTAATCATGAGTTTGTTCAGTTCATGAAATGATTTTTCATAATGTGACAGTGAGGCAGCAGGTAAAATACACCCAACACCCAGTAACTGAAGCAGTCGAAACTAATCCAGCTTCTTTATTTCTATTTTCTATACTCATGCTTTTCCTTCTGTCACAAGTCAAATTGTCAACAAGGAAAATGGCCCCTAGTCCAGGTGGTGGTTTTAAACATTGGGTTAAGTTAGAGTGGAGAAAGTCAACAGGAGCTTGATTAAGGATGAATACAGCACAGTATGATATAACTGCTTTGTCTGATCCACAGCGAAGATAAAATATGAAACCATTACTTGACAGAATCACAGGCTGTATATGAAGATGGATTTATCATTACTTCCTCCCAATATCCAGAAATGAAGCCAAATTTATATATGCCCATAATTTGGTTTCACTTTTGGGGAGCTGTCATGTCTTTATTTATTTGCTGTCACATTGTTTTAAAATGCATCTCCTTTTCCAATAATAATCCTCACATCTCTCCTTGTCCACCATTATCACCTCTAAGCAGCACAAATGGTGGTGTAACACCCAGCGGTGTTGACTCTGCAGTATTTTCATATAGCCTGCAGATGGCAGGCCAGGTTAGAGGGATTGTATCTCTCGCAGGACTCCACAGTGGATCTGGAAGAAGATGATGAGGCTCTTAATTCCCCCATGACTGAGCAGCATTGAAAACATGGACACGTGAGTATGTCTGCGGGTTCCTGACAGTTTAAAGCAGTCCAGACAAACATGGCCACCAGGGGTTAAGACTTCATAGAGGAGTCATGGGCTCATGGCCTCATCTCACTATTTATCTGTGTTCCTTGAAATGATGTCTGCTATGATTCATCCTCTGTGTAAATAAGTATTTTTGTCAGAATGTCAAACTTCTTTTTTGTGAGATGTGTAGTCTCCATGTCTAACCTTTCTGTGGCGCTTCACTCATCTGTGTGATTATGGATTATTCTCTGGTGGCTCTCTGAGGCAGATGGGGGAGGTCAGATTGTCAGCTGACATTTCAATGTTTCACCAAGTGACCAAGGGTTTTCCTTTGAGCCTTCACCTTTGTCTGTGGGCAAAAGGAATGTTGTCAGTCCTGCATTCAGATTTCAGATTGGATACTTAGACTTGAGAGGATGTTGTTAGCGAATTGTTACAAGCATTTGACAATACACTGACTGATACAACAACAACAGAGGCTAATACTGAACAGAATGACTCAACCTCTTTGTTGGGTTCCACAATCAGTGCTTCAGAGATATAGATGATAAAAATAACAACAACAACATCAACAGCAACACCACCAACAACAACAATAACACCACCCCCAACAACAACATTAATCACAACAACAACAACAACAACAATAATAAATGTTTTCATGTAGCACCTTTCAAAACAGCCAGTACAAAGTGCTTCACACTTTGAGGTGTAATACCTGTACAGATCTTAAAACACCAGTTATTTATTCATTTACAATTGATAGATTATATTGACTAATGGTTAATAAATATGAAGTGGATTGCTGTTGTGCATTTATTTGAACAGTTGTAAAATAATTGTTTGTCATAAAATGTTGGATGTTCAAAAGTGACAAATGCACTGTAATGAAAAAATCTTTACTTATTATAAATACACAAGACAACCACAAGATATTAATGTGTCAGGCACTGTAGACACAAAAGATTTCCTTTGTAGCAAATATTAAGAAAATATTACAAATCAGGTTGCTCAACCAAACCAACCAACTATTTGATGTTTTGGGTTGGAAATTAAAAGGCAGTGTCAAAAAATAAAAACCCAAGCCTTGTTTGAGAATGAAAATTTGCTACATACATTTTTAAAGAACTTCTAAAAATACCATGGAAGCTTTATTAATCACTGACAGAACAAAGTGAGGGAGCGACCCGACAGACCAACACTGCCATCCTTTGAGTCACCCTATTAGTGTTGCTAAAAATAAACATGCCAGTCAAGACATTAAAAAGATACCAGGCTCCGGGCCACATATCCACAGACTCATGACTGAGAACAGTTCATATATTGATAAATATGTAAATGATCAGTGTTATTATTCAATGTGCTATTGTTAAAACTACATTCTTTACATATTAACATGTAAAAGACATTTTATTAATCATTATGTGAAATAATCCAAATTAATTTTATTTTGTTTTAGTTACTGTTACTAGTAGTAATTTTTTCCCCTATTGTTTAATCTAAAAATGATGTGATTTTGAATATTTCAGGTTCATTTTCAGTCTGTTCCTTAATGGATGCAACATATGGTCTGTTATGGAGACTATAATATGACATGACACTGTGGTTCTCATTGTGTTGGCTGACAAAGGGGTGAAACACAGCCTCCCTTGCTCCAGAAGAGGCAGGTTGTTGGGGGTCTTTAATGGGCACGGTTGTCAGGGATCCTTTGGCTGTAATGAGAACACACCAACACACACACACACACACACACACACACACACACACACACACACACACACACACACACACACACACAGAGGAGCTGAACTTTGATGCTCGACTACAATTGGTTGGTGAGTTAATGAACCAGGGGCATGATAGAGCATGTTCTCTGGGGAGATGATCAACAGTCCAGCGCTCCTTCTACCACTGCACTGATTGACTTGGCCTCAAATTGGCTGCGATGCTTCTCCTAGCTTGTGAGGGAGCCTGAGCCGTAGCCCACTGGATGCACTCTTGTCTGGTCTGACACTGGAGAACAAAGGAAATTTCAAAGCTCTCCCTCATCTGCCTTTGTCAGCTCGAGTAGGCATAATTACGATGAGCTGACCCTGGAGATTTTGAAGGGTCTTTTTGTGGCTGCTCCACTGAGTTCATCAAAGGCCATCAAAGATGGAGGAAGAAACAGAGGAGCAACAGGAGAACTTGAAGTTTTTGTGTTAAAATCCTGGTGGAAAAAGAAGGAAGAGAAATAAAGAAAGAGAGAAATACAATCAAAAATAGCATTGAGTAAAGTGCATCTCTCCACCAAGGCCCAACAGTCCCCTCATGTAACCAGATTTAAATTCACTAGATCCAGAATTTTATTTGGATCTGCACCAAATTATACACACTCATAAATATCAGTCCCCTAAACATTTGAGATTTTCTTTTCATTTCATTCATTACAAAATGTGGATCAGCCCCATGATCCTTCAAATCAAAATTTAACAGGTTCTTTCTTGACCCATACCGAATCCTTCCACCAAGTTTGGGTAATCCATTCAGCTGTGTAATTCTGCTGCCTATCAGATGGACAAACAAACAAACAGACAAAAACATATCCTTCTCGGTGGTGGTACCAGACTAGAAATGTCACTTCATACAAATTGTGTTTTCACCCTCAGCCCACATTGTGCAGCACCCTGTAGCAGTCATCCCACGAGGCCCCTGGGTGCCCCGCTGCCAGGCAACCGTGGTGACAGTGTGATTCATCCAACAAGATTTTGCAAAGCAATTAAATGAGGAGTCAAGGGGATTCATCAGCCCCTGAGGCACGCAACATATTTAGTTTGTCACTAAAAAATTAATGTTTGATATAAATCTGCAAAGAGACAAGTGAGTCAAGACTTCATGAGGGATTCGTGTTTTTTTCTTGAAGAATAGATATTTTCTGTCCTTTCCAAGAACTCTGTCCTGGGAATTCTGGGAACAAACTTGTTTATAATGTACAACTTTAGCTCCCATCAAAATGCACTGATCATATTTTAAATTAGACTAAATGCAACAACGAAAAATATGCATGAACCAATGAGTTGATAAACTGACTGCTTTAATGTATTATTTTAGGATATGAATTATTAAGGCAGAAGAATATAATGTGTGTTAATACTAAACAAACTTTACATGGAGAGATGAAAGTGTATGACGGATTTACATAACATGTGATGCTGATCTCAGCGCAGCACTGAAGAAAGACGTCATAGGCCAGATATATACTTGCTCTTTATAATACATTTCCATAGGCAACTAGCTGGTGAATGTAATTGTTGCTGAAGGATACCTCTAGAGGGCACACCAGAGCATTCAGACATATAAAACTACTGCATTCGCATGAAGTAAACAATGAACATGGTGACTCTCTTACCATACTATCTTGTGGAAAACTGGTTTCAGTGGTGATCAAAGACTGTATGTGGACGACATGACAGTTTCCCAGAATGGGGTTAAATTGCCTTGATCGCCACCTGGTGGTTGCCATATCCATGTTAGCAGATGGGACATGGACCAAAATAAAAGTGAAATAAAATTGGTTGCTGTCATTTTAGTTAGGCTACGTCTTATCACTTATATGTCCAAATGTTTGTTTTTCCGTTTAATGAGTTTGGTTTATATGGGGTGAAACGTCATGACTGACTGCTGAGACTAGCTCGTGATTGGTCGAGCATGTGTATCAGTGGGACTTCGCTACCTTGATCACTGCAGCGCATTGTTCATCATTATTTACAGTCTATGATGGTGTCTGACAAGATTTCAATTGAGGTGACTGATGACTAATGGACAAAACATCCCATCAGCCCCACCCGCACACCTTTCTAGCATTTTCTACCATCTCAGACTTGTTTTAATATCATTTTTCGACATCAACTTCTAGAATTGTACTGATCTGTTGCCAGACATGTTGACTGGCATGTTTGTCACTGGGCAATGACAATAGAACATTATACAGATGTGGCAAATTATGGACTTAGTCTTTTAGATTATCTTTAAAACTGCTCATGTACATATTGCATCTTTTCTAAAGACGTGACAATTGATGCTCCTTCATGAGCTCACAAACACAAAGTAAAAGCCAAGTATATCTCTGGGCTGTGACCCTCTTTCTTCAGTACTGCCCTGTCCAATGTAAATCCATCATGT